AAAAAATCCTACATTTATTTTCTCAGGTCATGACCAAGTATGTGGAGATGAAATAGTTATCACCTTCATGAATTTTGTTAGGATTTTTGGAAGAGAAACTTTTTGGGGGTGTGGGGGTGTGTATTTAATTGAATGGATGAAATATTTTTACAAAGATAAGTTTGGTATTATTTGGGAGGATAAAAGAAATTTTAAGAGCTTTAGAATTTATAAATGGTGGTCCAAAGAAACGGGGGGTCCAAAATAATTGATGGGGGTGCTAATAGCAGCATTTTTTTCCTCTTTTGTGATCCATTTAGTCCTTTTAGATGCGTAATGACTCATTTGCTTACTACATTAGAGTATCACATTTGGAAAAAGTACACTAAGGAGTTTTTAATTTTTTTTAGAGTGTTACATATTACATTTGGAAAAAATACACTAAGCAGTTTGTAGTTTTTTTAGGCCATGTTTGATTCATAAGACTAATAGTGAAGGTATTAATAATCCCATCAAATTAATGTGGTATTCACTATTCAATAAGATTAGTAAGATAAATTATCTCATTATCCATTGTTTGATTTGCATTGGATAAGAAAGCATATGCATATAGAATTACAACTATATTTATTTTCTTTTCCAATCTTACCCTCCATTAATGTTTCTTCACAATCTTTACTTTATCAAAATTTCTTCATATATGTGGTTTTGAAAAAAAATTATAAATAAATAAATAAAAGCAAAATAAAAATACAAAATACAAAGGCCATGTTTGGTTTGTTTTTTAATTTTTTTAAAAAAAATATAAACTAATTTGATAAAATAAATATCAAAAAATATTTTAATTTTGAAATCCCATTGCCCAGGACCCAGTGTAGCCAACCATTGAATCCCAAGCACCATATCACACTAGAAACACAACCCTTTTGAAACCTTTACAAGCTACACTGCTGGTCATCTGTGTTCCATCAACAACAAACACTGTCAAAGGATCAATGTCAACAGTCTCGACACCTGCTTTCTTAACCATTTCTTGGTTCAAAAAGTTATGGGTGCTACCCGTATCAATCAAAATCACCACTTTTTGTTTCTTGACCAACCCATGTACGCTCATGGTTCTGTAAGAGACTGAACCAGTTATTGCGTTAATAGAAATCTACAACTCACCTTCTTGTTCCAAGACTTCCTCACCTTCTTCCTTCTGCGTAGGTTCTTGATCGGAGTCCTCTTGGTCCCCATCCAAAACATACAACTGCTTTTGCTTGCATTGATGTCCCCGTGTGAACTTTTCGTTACACTTGAAACACAACCCTTTTGCCCTCTTTTCCTCCAACTCTTTTGGTAACTCTCTTCGAATGGAAGGAAAAGAATTAGGTTTGGATTTCCCATACGAAAATTTTTCTCAAGTTCTTAGTGGTAGCCTGGTTTTCTAGGCAACTGCCTCAATACTGAGTTCCTGTAACTTGGCTAAACCAATGGCTTGCATGGTAGTTGTAGGTTTAAACATCAATATATTGGCCCGTATCTCCTTCTTTAACCTACTAACGAAACAACTAGTAAAGAAATGTTTAGGTAAAGGGTTTTGTTAGCAAGGATGTCGAACTGTTCCTGATAATCCTTGACAGATGTTGTTTGCTTTAATTTGGTTAATTCACCCACAGCATCCTCATATGCATCAGAACCAAAACGAGAAATCAACCCATTTTTAAACAGATCCCAATTTACCAAAGCGTGTGTTTTCTCAAACCATTGATACCTTGCAAAGCACTATCTTCCAAAAGCAAGATTGCCAATTTCACCTTATTATTATCTTCAACACAATTATACTCAAAAAATCTCTTGCATTTGTAAACCCAACCTGACGGATTATCACCAATGAATTTAGAGAAGTCAATCTTGGCGTACCTAGTTCCAAACCCAAGAAAAGGTTGAGATTAGGAAGAAGACTCTGCTTTGAATGGATTGGAAAAAACGAGTTTGCCGTGTAGATTGTGGGTTGAATCAATAATTACGGATTTTGATGCTTGGCCACCACCCATTACCCACCTCCCACCGTCACCACTTTCCACTACCGTCTTCCGCCGCCACTTGCCATCACTTGCCATTTCTCACTCTTTTTTATATTTTAATTTTTTTTAAAACATTTTGTCAATTACCAAACGCGTTTGTAGTTTATGTTTTTCTAAAAATAATCAAAAAATAAACAAAAACCAGTTTATAAAATTTTTGTAAATATAAACTGAAAACGTAAACATTACCAAACACACTCTAAGGATTTTTTAGTTTTTTTTGGAGTGTTACATCATACCTGTTACGTTGGAGTGTCATATTAATATATGTAATATTAGAATCTCACATCATATCTACCATATTAATAAAATGGTATAACCATCTACCAAAACATTATCAAAATTAAAAATAGGACCAAACGAAAAGAAATTCTCTACTAATAATAAAACTTAACAGATCAATAGAAAAAATTTAAAACTAATTGAAGTACTTATTTATAAGATGAGATTTGTTGATAAATATCTTAACAAATTTTTAATTATTTAATTGTTTTAATAGAATATATAATATTTTAAAATTTTTTGAATCCGGCCCATCCTATCCAACCCCATCGGCAAATAAATAGAGACTTGGTTTGGGAAGTGGGTTGGTTTTTGATTTTTTTGACTATTTTAGTCTGAGGTTAAAAAGCATAGTTTTGGAAGGACTTTTGACTTTTTTGATTTTTTTTGTAAGAAAAAAAATATAATGATTATGAATTAAATGTGATATTTTATCTTATTAAACTTAAAAACCTATTTATTTTTTGTGACTAAAATAACCCAAACCCACTTCAAAAAACAGAGGCAGAAACTCTCAAATTTATTGAAAAAAAGTTAAAGCGTCTGATTCTGACGCTGCTTGCTCCAAAATCGGGGGCTTTTCCCAAAATAAGCCAAAATGCAAAGCTATTTCCCAAACTAGGCTTTGTTCGGACGGAATTCCCAAAATAGGCTAAAACGTGATTACAAACCATGCTTTTACCATTTTTGTGGTCCTCCCGTGGAAAATTTGTAAAATCGTAAAGCGTGATTACAAACCATGCTTTTAACAAATTTTTTTTTTCTTCCAAAAAACGTGATTAGGAACCGTACTTTTGATTAAAATGTAAAAACGTGTTTTGAAAACACGTTTTCAGTGTTGCACTCACTCTTCATTTTCATTCTCACACTCACACACACACACACTCTCTCTCTCTGACACACACCCACCCACCACACTCACATCTTTTTAATATATATAAATTTTATTTTATAAATTTGGGACCAATATTAAATATATATAATAATAATTTATAATAGCAAATAATAATCAACTATATAATTTTTATAATTTTTGTAAATACAAATCATTTTTATATAATTTTTATTTTTCGAGTGGTTAGAATTAATTTTTTACAAATTAAATTGAAACAACCATACGTATGTATATAACCTGCCCAAAAGTTAAAATGATAATTATTTTTTACCCTTAAATGATAATTATTTTTTATTTTTTATTTCTTAACCAAATTAATTTTTAATTTTTTTAAAAAAATTCTAGAAATCAAACCATACATAGCCTAAAAATCTTTTAATAAGTCATTTCTTACGTTGATAACTTATTTAATTATTTGTTAATTTTACGATATTTTTACCATTTGAGGCATGTTTGGTAACCATTTCGTTTTCAACTTTCAATTCATATTTACAAAAATTTAAAAAACTATCATAAAAACTTGTTTGATAATTTTTTTAGTTTATAAATGGTTGTCTCAATTTATAAATTTGAGGAAAAAACGTAAATTTAAAAAATGAGTTTACGTTGGCTTTTAAACAAAAATTAAAAAATTTTACTAATAATTTTTTTTTTTCAATTAATTTTTTTTCAAATAAATTCAAAAAATGAGTTTACGTTAGCTTGTAAATATTTTTTTTTTCAAATAAAATTAATTGAAAATTTTTTTTATTAGTAAAATTTTTAAATTTTTGTTTAAAAACTAATATAAACTCATTTTCTGAATTTATGTTTTTTCCTCAAATTTACAAATTGAGACAACCATTTATAAACCAAAAAAATTATCAAACAAGTTTTTATGATAGTTTTTAAAATTTTTGAAAATATAAATTGAAAATTGAAAACGAAATGGTTATCAAACATGTCTCAGATGGTAAAAATGTCGTAAAATTAACAAATAATTAAATAAGTTACCAACGTAAGAAATGACTTATCAAAAGATTTTTAGGCCATGTATGGTTTGATTTTTAGATTTTTTTTTTTAAAATTAAAAATCAATTTGGTTAAGAAATAAAAAATAAAAAAATAATTATCATTTAAGGGTAAAAAATAATTATCATTTTAAGTTTTGGGCAGATTATATACATACGTATGGTTATTTCAATTTAATTTGTAAAAAATTATTTCTAACCACTCGAAAAATAAAAATTATATAAAAATGATTTGTATTTACAAAAATTATATAGTTGATTATTATTTGCTATTATAAATTATTATTATATATATTTAATATTGATCCCAAATTTATAAAATAAAATTTATATATATTAAAAAGATGTGAGTGTGGTGGGTGGGTGTGTGTCAGAGAGAGAGAGTGTGTGTGTGTGTGAGTGTGAGAATGAAAATGAAGAGTGAGTGCAACACTGAAAACGTGTTTTCAAAACACGTTTTTACATTTTAATCAAAAGTACGGTTCCTAATCACGTTTTTTGGAAGAAAAAAAAAATTTGTTAAAAGCATGGTTTGTAATCACGCTTTACGATTTTACAAATTTTCCACGGGAGGACCACAAAAATGGTAAAAGCATGGTTTGTAATCACGTTTTAGCCTATTTTGGGAATTCCGTCCGAACAAAGCCTAGTTTGGGAAATAGCTTTGCATTTTGGCTTATTTTGGGAAAAGCCCCCGATTTTGGAGCAAGCAGCGTCAGAATCAGACGCTTTAACTTTTTTTCAATGTTGAGAAGCAAAAAAAAAAAAACCAAAAAAAAAACCAACAACAACGACAACAACAAACAAACAAACAAACACCATGTGGAGGAGAAGACTCACTGCTCAGCTCCACAGATTCGCCGCCGCCGGCCTCTCCTCTTCGCCGTCTTCGTCACCGTTCCGGCCATCAGTCACTCTCTTATCTGCTTCCGATTCCGCTACAAAGGTAGGTCTGTATATATGCTGTTGTTTTGTTAATTCTTGGCTCATTTTACGGTTCTTCTTGTCATAATCAATATGCTTCAAATGATTGATTTGATTTGTGAACCTTGTTTGTTTGTTTGTTTACTTGCGATTTGTGTGTGACTGAGTCTGCTCAGTTTTAGGCAAAATTTGAAATGAGTTCATTGCTTTTTATTTTTATTGCCATATTAGATACGTGAAGGTTTGCTTCTATATTCAATGTCTTGTGTGATTGTAGATTAGTTCATTGAAGTTATTTTCAGTGAAATAGGCTTATAATTGAGTTCAAATTTGGTAAATGAGATAGCATCTGCTGTATATGTGCAGTGGCGGAGCTAGGTTTTTGGCTCAGAAGGGGTGACGTTGAGTTTAAATCTTAGCAATAATCACAATCTTTCATTTGGAGGTAGGACTAAAAATCAGCGTGATACCAAAGTTATAATTAGAGATATGGTCAAGTTAGTAGATTTTTTATTTTTATTTTTTTTATTAATTTAATTTTGTATGATGATCATCATGATTTAAAAACCAATGCCTTCATAAAAAATGAGAAAAAAATTATATCAGGATGCACATACATACACAGAGAGAGGTATGGAAAAAGAGATGAGAGAGAAAGTGGGCAAACAATATAAGGTACATACACAAAAAGAGAGGTATAGAGAAAGACATGAGAGAGAAGGTGGGGAAATAATATAAAATTTATAAGAGAAGATTTTAGCATAATTAAACATTTAAAGTGACAAATTGAATGGGTTTTGTTAAAAAAAGAAAAAGAAAAAAGTGGAGGTATAAAAATTAGGTACATACTTGAAACTTCAAATGAAAAATACATTTATATCTCTAATAAGAAAATGTGGCTACATGCTTAGGTTGCTAGTTGGGTCAAGATTGCGGCTCATACTTGATAAATGCTTTTGGCACAGTTCAAGCCGTTACACCATTTGTTGAACTGCTTCTCATCCTTGAATTTGACCAGTGTCAGAGTCTCAACCGCAGCTGTTGCGTTATCGAAGCCCTTGGTCCTTACGTGCCTCTACCCCTATTTACGTTCTTTTTTTGGCTTCTAAAATGAAAACATGAGGTGAAAATATAAAGAAATTGCAAGAAATTAATTTGTACAAGTGTGGATTCACTAGCCTCAACTGGTAACTTGGATGCAAACTAGTCTTTTGTGTGAAGGTTTATTAGGAATTTAATTGCTTTTGGGAGAAATAAAACAGAAAAAAAAAGAAAGAAAAGAGAAAAGGTATGGAGACCAAAGTTGTTAATCCTGTACCGGGGAAGGTACTGTTTTTTTCACTGGTATGGTACATATTGGTACCAGAGTGTTTTCGGATACTGTTTTAGATTTATCGCTGCAAATAAATATATTTATGAAAAATATTGCCAAATACTGAATAATTATAGCATAACATAAATATGCTCTCATATTTTAAAAGGACTTATAAAACAACTAAAAGCTTAAAACACAAATTCCAAATCAAACCAAACCAAGCCAAGCCTTAAATCTTATCAAATGGGGTCAGCTACATGAATCATTCTTCTCAACTCGACTCTATTAAAGGCAATTTCGTTAGTCAAATTAAGAAGATTCATATCTCTATTTACAACGTTAACCCACGTTAATCTAGATCTACCCCCGTCTCCTAACACTTCCAACTACCGTCAGTGCATAGCATCTCTTCACTACTGCCTCTGTTGGTCTCCATTGTATATGACCAAACTATCTCAATCTATTCTCTTTTAACTTTTCTATCGGTGTTACTTTTATCCATTTTTGAAAATACTCATTCCTAATTCTGTCTTTCCTAGTCTTGTCACACATCCACCTTATCATCCTCATCTCAGCAACACTCATCTTATCTACATGTCGTTTCCTTAAAACACAAATTTCATATACCTTAAAATGATTTAAAATACAAACCCATTGTCTAGTACATAAACACAATGAAAAACATAATTAAGCTCTCTTTTAAAAACAAAGGTTAATTATACCATGGATGGATGACAACCAGCCACTGTTAGTGGCATTGTATGAGCACTAACCACCAAGCCACCATGCATTCCTATAAGAGTAAAAAAAAAACTTAACAAAAATGTAGTAGTAAAAGCCAGCCACTGTTAATGCCATTTTATCGAACATCTGACATACATAAATATCAGCACAAGCAAAACAAAGATACCGTAGAGAGAGTAAACCGTATGAAAAAGGATAAGAGGTGAAGTAAAGCAAACCCACAATAAGGTGTCAAATTTGTTCTGGCCATAAAAGTCGTAAAAGCCAAGAAGATGCTCAAGATCTGCTACGGAAGAAAAAGAAGTCCCATGTCATAGAGCACCCTCCTCCATTATTAACCTGCCATTGTTGTCACTCATGGCTACCAGTCCAGCCCTCAACAACGTTATTTTTGTTTCAAAATCTCTATTTTTTTTTTCCAGATTGTGTACTGGTGTATCCCGCAAGATAAAGGTTTCCGGCCGATATTATCTGGAATGACTGAAACTGTCCAGTACAAGCCGAGCACATAGCCAATATGGAGTTAGAGTAGCTGTGTCCTGTTTTTCTTCTTGAACAGCACATTTCAGGCGGGTACCCTCTGGTACGGAATGGTGTTAACAACACTGATGGAGACATAAAAAGTAGCCCGGAAATGATTAGAGAATGTATTGTATGGTGTAATTCAAATTTAGTATGAGGGGGGCCTCAACCGGGATGAATTTAGCCCACACACTTCACTTTCTGGTCACTTTTTGGGCTTTTTTTTCTTTTTTTCTTTCCTCCATGGCATTGTTGATAAAAAATAGCATCTATGCATGCCTTTTGACCATTACTTTCAAATTCACTTCTTATTTCTAGTTAGAGCCTCCTACAACTTTGAACTTCTTTATACATTGTCTTTCCAAATTCCAATGCAATTTCAAGAAATTCAAAATGACAATTCTTGTGGTCATTCCATAATTATTACTTAATCCTTGCTAGTTGCATTTTTTGTTTCATAGTGAATTACTAGTTTAAGTTGTGAGACATTAAGGCCTTGTTTGGTTTGTGTTTCCCAAAAATTTTTGGGAAAAATTCTCTACAAATAAGTTTTCAAAAGTAATCAAACCAAACAAATTTTCCCAAAAAATTTTTCCAAAACTTGTTTGGTTTACAAGTTTTCCAAACAAATCTCTCTCTCATACACATCAAATTAATCACTTTTTCCAAAACTCTCTCTCAAAATAATTTTCCAAAACATCTTTTAAAAAAACCAAACCAAACAACTTTTCGTACTTTTTATCTCTAAAACTCATCTCCCAAACTCAAACCAAACATACCCTAAGTTCTTCACATGAAAAGTTATTCGGTGTTTCTTGCCTAGATCATTATGTCATATGTTCCTTGACCATGATTTCTTATGTTCATACACATAAAAGGTTCACTAGGTTATGGGCAGTTTTCTTAATATTGTTGCTTTGTCAAATAAATGAACATGATCAGATTGTCATGCTTGCTATTGATCTTTCCGTTCATGAAAGCCATCAACCACATTTTCCTCCTTTAAACGTGATTATTGAAGTGGGATTCATGCAAGTTTAAATTTGTTTGCATCTGAAACATTGTTTGTTTTTGAGTTTGGGTAATCTAATTCTTTAGAAACATAAAAATATAAATGAAACAGATTTTGCAATAATAGATTGTGCTACTGCAAGATCAACAACATTTACATATTCTAGCCTACTCACATGTCTGCTTAGAATTTAGAAAATTGCATCTATGGAAATGGATGCAGTCCACAAGAAGAAGGAAGTAACTTAAATAAGAAATTAGAATGCTTTATGTTAGTTCCTATAGGAGCAATGCATAGTATCTTTTTTATCTTAATAAAGTCTTGTTTATGTTTATTTTATGTTAAATACGCTACGAATTAGTTTTTAATATTTTTTCGGTAGATTAAAGGTATTTTGGTAATTTGCAAAAATTATGAACATAGGCTGTAGCCCATGGGTCATGATATGGTCAAGTTATATTATTAGGTTTTCAAATGTATGTTTTAGTTGGGTTTAAATAGGTTTTGTTAAAAGTGTTGTTGCCTATTTAGTAGTCCAAGTAAATTAGAAGTTTTTTGCAAGCTCTAAGTACATAAACTTCTTGGGAGGAAGTGTGTCGTGTCTGGCTGACACTCTCCATACACTCCTAAAAGTGTGTTTGACACTTCTACAGCTTGTTTGCTGCTTCTACAGTGTCTTAATTAAAAATATAAAATTCATAATATCGGATACCTTACCGAGACTTTTGCGGACATTTCGGCGACACTTCTTGAAACATTTATTAGATGAACACATCATGTGTATTACAATACTCTATATTTATTTTGCATTCTTTAAAATGTAATTGTTATAATGATATCTTAATGTTTAAGTTATGAAATATATAACTTTTTAATGTAATAAGTGCTATGCTACATATTTTTCATTATCGTCGAATAAATTATTCATATATATGACATGTAATAAATTTAAAAAAGTAAAAAAATCTTAACGTGTCCAAAGTGTGTCATGTCTTGCATTTTTTAAAAATAAAAAATGTCGGCATATCGTGTCGTATGTCCGTGTTTGTGCTACTTAGCTCTAAAGTGTCTAGGAAGCCTTGTAATGCTCCTATTCAATGGAGAACGCGCTTTGGAGAATTTTGTGGAAGTTTTTGTAACTCTTTTGGTATTGTGTGATCATGTGATGCAAATTGCAATATGGTATCTAGGTGTGGTGCCTAGAATTTTGTTTTCCTCATTTTTCTTAAATCTTTTTACACTTTTAGCGTCTAATACCCCCTTAACCAGATCTGATTGAACCTTCTTTCTAAATCTTGATTGAACTTTATTTTATCTCAATAAACCCTTCAAACCACAGGCGTTTATCATTCTACAATTATTGCACACAAAAGAGTCAAAATTTAGCATGGTACTGTACACATCACCCAAAACAGGCATCAAAATCCTTTCTTTTCAATTCTTACCCTTACCCTTTAGTCACCCCATACAATCCTTAAAATCTTATCTAACATATTTTTACCAACTTATCAATCACACGATGTTAATTTTTTGCATTAGGACTGTAGCACTCTGCTGCTGCTGCACATTAATTTTGGACTTGCTAAGAGTCTCACTTAGGTAGGAGACTGTTCCATGCACTCTTCCTACAGCAAAGAAACTACTTAGTTTTTAAGATGTTCAAAACCATCTGGTTCTAGATTTCTTGGATCCTTAATCATAAACTGCAAACAAAAAATGCTTTACTTGTTAAACTACACAGAGAAAAATTGACCAAAAAAAGGCTTTCTTGAAATTTTAAGCAGCGTGTGGTCATGTTTAGAACAAATCATTCTTAATGATTGATCATGGAAATGATATTGCTAATATTTTTGCTTTAATTGTTGGTAGGCAGCTGGATCCTTTAACCACCATGGGATGCGATACTCAACTACAGTGCCAAATGATCCTGACACACATGAGGACTTCATGCCCACTAATAAGCTTCAGAATTCTGACCTTTCTTTGAAGGACATTGTTGAGCAGGTTGACAATAGTCATCTGTACCTTTCACATTAGATATTGAGTCTTAAGCCTGCCTTTCTCTCTCTCTCTCTCTCTCTCTCTCTAATTATCCAGATTAAAGTTTTAGTCTTGGTTTTTAGTCTTTTTAATTGATAGCTTTTGGCTTCGATGGCAGGATGTCAATGGCAACCCTGTGATGATTTACATGAAAGGAGTGCCTGATCTTCCTCGGTGTGGATTCAGCTCATTAGCAGTGAGAGTGTTGAAAGAATATAGTACGTGTTCTGTTGCTTCGTTTTAAAACAATATTCATACATTCCCTGGTTCAGTTGAGGGTTGAGCAACCATATATTTATGTGAGCTTGAATAATTTATGCTTTTTTATGTGGTCTATATGTGACTATTTGGTATGGTAGGTGGCCTCTTCTAAAGTTTTGAAGTATCTGTGTTAGACACTGAACACTTGAGTAAGGGTATACCGTATATGATATGTGACCAGCTTGCTTATTTAGAGATGCACCCATCAAGTATGGATAAGTAGTCAGGTTTACTATGCACAATACTCCCATTATATGCATATAATGTTGTATGTTAGTTTGTAAACTTCATTTTATCATAACAAATAAAAGAAATATTTTATAAATATGACCTCTAGCCTTGTCCTGGTATCCTTGGATATGAATATTAGATAAACTTGACACTTGAACACATACCTTCTAAGAAGTACAGAAACGGGCGTGTGGCACGAGACAGACACAACATCAACACACCAACACAGAATTTTTCAAAAAAATAAAGGACACATCACGTGGGGGACACATGCAAAATATATAGTTTGTATATTTATTGTATGGCATATATAAGAATAAACCATTAGTATATGTCATATATTTGAATAATCAATTCAGAGATAATAGTTTTTAAAGTCTAAAAAAGATGAGAAAATGTATGAATTTACTTTGTTTTTTATTATTATTATTGTTCGATTCTATGTTGTTTTATTTAAACTTGTAATGTGTTTTATGTGTGTTTAAACAATAGACATGTGTTTTACAAGTGTCTAAATCGTGTCCAAGTTTTGAAAAAATTTAAAAATAGTTGGACATGTTTGGATGTGTCTGACTAGTGTCATTGTTGTGTCGGTGTACACTACCTCTTTAGAAGTGTCTGGGCTTCTTGATATATTTGGGTGTTTAGTCAACTATGTCAAAATGACAAATTAAAGAAAATTTTTGTTTTTGGTTTTTTTTTTAAAAAAGAATAGTTATGAGAGATGACCATGTAGTTGGCTTAAGTTGTCTTAGGAAAGTACAAGAAGATGAGACAATCGAAGCTCTAAAAGAGGAGCTGACTGGAGCTAATTTTGTGGCTGGAATTTTATTTAGTGTCGTACTTCTTGAACTTTGAGCTGGGCCTTGTACCTTGCCGACCTGACTACTTTAAGTTGTTTGTGGCATTCTTACTGTTGATATGCTTGTTTCAGATGTTCCTTTGAGTGCCAGAAACATATTGGAAGACCCTGAGCTTAAGAATGCTGTCAAATCATTCAGGTAGCGTAGTACTTGATATCATTCTCTAGAACATCCATTTAGCATTGTTATACATCTAGAGAGCAGCAAGAGCCCGCTTCTCAGATACATGTTTCTTGTTGTTTCCTTATCTTTTGGGAAGATTACATGGACCTCCCCTGATGGATTTGACAATTACAAGGACCTCTCCTGCTTAGGGGATCAATGTTAAAAAAAAAAAAAAAAGTAGGCAGAGAACTTGTTTTAAAAACATGATATCATAAAAATAGAGTATATTTATTCTAAAATTAACATGGAGTGGAAATTAAAATGAATTTCCTAATGATGAATATGAATAGCAGTTTTTTCAAGTGAGGTCACAATTTATCTAATTGAATGCTCCATCCAACAGTGGCTAAAAGATACATGGCCATGCCAGAATATTTTCAAAAGTTGGTGAACACTTGTTCAGGCAGTTTTTCATTTATCAAATTTATTTCCATTTCAGCAGTTTACTTTTATAGTAATTTTCCTTGTTGCCTTGTTGATGAAGGTATATGTTTATCTTTTGGGAAAATTACACGGACCTTCCCTAACAATTGCCCAAATTACAACTGCCTTGGAAGTACAGACACCGGCCATGGGACAAGATAATTTCAAAAAATTCAGGACATGGATACAGTGGGGGGATATGTAAAAAAAATATTTTATTTGCTATGTATGTAAATATTAGATTCATAAACAACTAAAATTAATAAAAACCAACAGTAATTTAACATAAAAAAACTAAATTTTAATTAACTAGAGACTAAGGCTTTGTTTGGCATGTGCTAAACAATTATTTTATTTGGGTTATGTCACCTCTTATTTAGGTCAGATCACCTCTCTACTACATCACTTCAACCCCAACCCACATTTCATATTTTTTTTTGTAAAAAATCAAAAAGTATACTAATCTAACACTTCCCAAATAACCCCTAAATCTGTGTTGCATTAGGCTCCAAGGATTGTTAGAAGGTTGTTTCTCCACTTCATAAATGTGTTTTAGATGTGTGTTACATTGCTGATGATTTCATATGATTTATATATTTTTTAAAAAACCAATCCTTTTGTTTCCAAATTTATAATATGACCCTAGCAATTAGTTTTGAAAAATTAAAATAAGACTTTTCGTGTCCTGAATTGCGTCCCACCATGTCTACGTGTCTCTCACTGCATTTACACGCATCCCTGTTGTGTAGCCTAAAAAAAATGGACACGACTACAACACCTATTTTGAAGTATCATCGCTTCATAGATAGCTGATCCCATTAGCATAGGACGACGACACCGACTCCCCTAACATTTGAGTAGGCATATCATTGAGTACCTCGCCGTTAGGTGTCAAGCAAGAGACATGGATGGAATATTATGGTGTCGATAATTTTTTAAATATGCTATTTTTACCCTTGAAGAAATGGGTCAATTCTTTAACCATTACCAATTTACCTTTAGTCACTCTTACTCTTCTTCCCCATCCGTTCCCCTTCGCTTTGTGTACCCCCTTCCCCTACTTCACCACCACTCACCATGCCACGGCCGCCTTCCACCCCACCCCACTGCCCCTAATGATCCCTCCCCTTACGCCATTGCCTCAGCTCCCCAAATACCATGCCTTTCCTTCCCTCAATTCCATCGTGCTACCACCAACCTCTCACCTCAACCTGCTTACCACCCAACCTTCTCGCCCAGACACGAACGAGAGATATATAGCTTGGCTCTAGGCTCATACCAATGATGATCACCAGTGGCCTCCACGTCAAACCCCATTGCCTTCCATAGCCCTCCAACGTTGCCTCCAGTGCAATCCTAGCTGTGACCCCAACCCCAGCGCCGTGATCCAACACCTTCCAACTCCAAAACCCCCATTTCCTATCAATTGAGCATGATTGATTTATGTTTTTTCCCCTTGATTGCTTGACTTATGGATTTTTTTTTTTTTTGTGGATTAATTTAGGGCGGATGGAGAGGGTGTTTGATGAATCAAGGGTAGAGAGGGCTTTTTTTTTTGGCTTGATTATGTTGTGTATTGTTTTGATTTTGTTGTGTATTGTGTTGATTATTGGTTTTGTTGTTCTTTGTGTGTGGTGGCAGTGGTCGGTGTTGGATTGTTATATGGGGGAATTGGAGGATGAGGTAGGGTGGAGGAGAGGGTAGAGGAGTGTGTTGGAGGAAGGTGAGAAAGATAGAAAGTGGTAAGGTGTAAAAATGCCTGCTGGCTTGAAGCTTGACCAGGCATGCCCATATCCCCCTGGACTAGGGCATGGGCCATGGGTTTTTTGGCCCGGCCTAGCCCAAGGCCCATTGGCCCAATCTGAGGCCCAGCAAGCTCGACGCCTAACTTAATTTTTAAGTTATTTTTGTTTTTTTTAAAAAAATAAAAATAAAAAAATAAAAAAAGCCAAGCCTGCCCCAGGTTCGATTACCCACTAGGCCCAGATTTTGCACAAGTGGCTTGGCCCGATTTTTGGCGGGAGCTTGACAAGCTTGATGGTGGGCCGACTTGGGCCAGGCCAAAATTACACCCCTAGAGAGAGGGCATTTTTATCACTTCACATTTTCTATTAACGGAGTTAACTTTTGAGGCGCATTAAGGGATGCCAGTCTCATTTCTCCATACTATTGGGCCTGTTGTTATTTGGGCACTAGTTAGGGGAGGTCCTGTAATTTGCCCTTCTTTTTTTAATGGTACTTCATTTGTTGTTTTATATATATGGCCAAATCTTGATTGAATTTTTCGGGATGTGTTTGCATCATATATATATCCACAAGGTTGCCTGTGTGTCCGTTGCACATGTTGTTGGGATCATTTGTGAGAATAAGCTATTAAGCTCAGTTGTCATGACTCCTGATTAATTGATGCAAATTACTGAGAAACAATATTTGCAAACGGAGTTGCTGTTGGTCTTTACTTAGCAACCATATTGGTCCAAAATGTTGATTAAAAAAATGTCTAGTTTCTAATTGTTTCAATTTGTCCCATGGTCTTTCGTTGCAGCAACTGGCCCACGTTTCCACAGATATTCATCAAGGGGGAGTTTGTTGGAGGATCAGACATCATTCTCAACATGCACCAGGTATTCTCATACCAAAATTGTTATTCTTTGGCCTGGTATACATTGCTTTAATGGTTTGGTTTGTCATGTAGACTGGCGAGTTGAAGGAAATGCTTAAAGATATTGCAGCCAACCAGGAGAATTAAGAGTAAGTTTATCATTACTGAACATGTAGAGTGTTGGCACATAAATTTTAAACCAAATTTATGTTTAAATTTCAAATACAGTCAATGACATACATAGAGCCTACGATAAGATTGTTGTAGGCAATCACTTTCCAAAATGATTAACTTGCTCCGTTGAAGTGTATAAATAAAACAACGTCGTATCTTAACGACGTTATTCAAGATGCTCAAATGACACGTGGAGCCTACGAAAGATGACACCTGTAGAGCCTACAGCAAAGACACCACACCGGATGAAACCCCAAAGATCAATCCGGTTAATCAGATAAACGATTAATTAGATAGCGCTATTATTCAAAATTTAAATGGCGCTATCATTCAATTTGAAATTCAAATTGAAGATGAAGCATTCCTATCACCTACCTGATGGCCCTCCATAAATATGAGGACCATCACACAAGACAGGGGATCAGAAAATCAGAAGTGGAAAAGAAGAGAGAGAGAGAAAGAAATTGAGATCTAAACAAATCGTTACAAGAAAGAAGAAGAGAAGCCTAGAGAACTCAAGAGCCTACGCTAATGGCGATGAATAGGTAAAGGGTTCCAAACCCAAACTGTATTTTGTATTCGAGGGTTCAAAACCCATAACAATCTCAATAAAAATTTCTTTTTTTTTTAAAATTGTCTTTTGTTGTTTATTTTGTTCTTCATTAATCAGAGGTTTCATTTGTATAAAATGTGTAATTAACGATATGAAATACAGATCGGAAATAAGAACCTGCTATTCAAATAATCAACACTGTTTAGTCCAAAAAAAACTAAACAGTGGACATTTGTAACATAAAATTTTAAAATGTGTTGAAACACTTCATGTTTTAAAATTTGTGTCTACAAATTCTGGTACGCCCGGTGGGACTTTATTTCTCCTCCCATCTTTTGAAGAACAAAAAAAAAAAAAAATATATATATATATAGTTGAAACTTACTGACGTATTCTTTTGTTATAGGAATGCTGAAGCAACTGTTAGGAGACAAACCTACACTCAAGTGGTTCTGAAATCACCAAGGTTGGAGATAACACCCATCACCCAAGGGGCTCCAGAGCGAATGCTCTTGGTTGTCCCAAAGGTAGAGCCAAAGAAATCCTGGAAAGATGCACTTCTTTCCCCTGCCACCCAAGGGGCTCCGGAGCGAAAGCTCTTGGCTGTCCCGAAGGTAACTGGTGTGACGAAGAAAGTCACACTTCTCCAGAAAGTTGAAAGTTTGAGAAAGATTACTGAAGATTATGTGAAAGCGTCAAAACAGTACACAATTGTGAGGGCCACAGCCCGAACGAAGAACTTTCTAATTCAGGCAAAGGAGGCTAATTAGTTTGCAACTGCGACTTTTGTTGCAGCTTCAACGGGGGCAACAAAAAATGTTGTGGCCCAACTACTCAAAAGGGTAGAAGACTCCATTAAAATGGTGGAGTCTGCCCAGAAGAAAGCTTCTGTTGAAAACATGGCCATCATTAGGGCCATTGGGAGAAGGGTAATGACCCAAACTCCTGTTGATGAAAAAAAGGCCCCTGTTGTTGAAAAAACAGTTGCTGCCTACGAACCAATAGTTCTGTTCAGAGCACAAAATCGGTCAAACCAAATCTCAGTCAACTCTCAGGAGCCAAAGGAACATTCGTTGGCTCGACAAGGTTTGAATAAGGAACACCCGTTGGCCCAACAGAATAAGGAACACTCGTTGGCTCGACAGGGTTCGAATGAGAAACACCCGTTGGCCCGACAGAATAAGGAACACCCGTTGGCCCGACAAGGTTCGGATAAGGAACACCTGTTGGCCCAACAGGATTTGAATCAACATCAATTGACCAGCTCTAAAAATGTAGGGACTATTTTGAAAGTTCACGAGGAATTTACAAAGGCACAAACGGTTCCTTCTATGCCCTTAGGGGCTCGACTTGATATGTCATCCGGTCCAGTTTCAGAAAGACAAAGGCGAAGAAGAAATAAGGCCTTAAAGAAACTGGAACTAAGAATAGTGGCAACAAATGTTGTAGGAGCTATTGAAAGGGCTCTCTCGAAAGATGAACCCCAAAAACAAATTGAAAGTCCTGTCTTTGTCGGAAAATCCAAGGTGGAGGAGGGTAAGCAACCCTTGGGAAATATTTCTACTTTGGTTGAACTATCTATGGAGGGAATAAGAAAAGGGCCTGTAACAAGGTCCATAACCCGTCAGGCTCAAAACAAAGCATCACAGTCAGATGCTTCAAATGTGAGTAATGTTGTGGGGGTTTATGATCCTTTATACGAACAAGATGATTCTATCTCGTTTGTTTCAACAGATATTGGAAACAATGAATTGAAAGATATCAACAAAGTCGCAGTTATGATGACTGAGGTTGAGAAAGAAGGTGAAAATTCGCAGGTCCAACAAGACCAAAGTCTCAAGGAAAAAGTGGTGGCCCTACAAGAACAACTCGAGAGAAAAGAACGGAAGATGAAGCGTTCCTATCACCTGATGGCCCTCCATAAATATGAGGACCATCACACAAGACGGGGGA